GTTAGCGGCGTAGGGGCGGAAGACGATAGTTCGGGGATATTATATAACTATATTGTTAGAAACGGCCTTCATATGACCTGGAGCGCGGAGCGCCTAGAGGTAGGTCTGCCGAGGCGGTAGCCTTATAAGATGAGTCTAGGTTACGTACTGTACGTGACCACCTAAAAAGGAAAGAAAGGATATAATGGTATATTAGTATAGAGTATATCAACATATTAACATACCATTCCTAGTTACCTATTCGGGATACGCCTTATAAGTATATAGCTACGCTCATTACCCTTTTATAGTTATACTCTCTCGTAGCTAACTTATAATATCTACTTCACTATACTATTCTGAAGTTACTCGACTATTCATACCTTGCGTACTCTCGACCCAGCTCATGTAATAAAGGAACTGTGACTGAGGAAGTCTAACTACGTTAGGCTATATAGGAAGCAGCTCTGACATATATATAGTTATATATACATCAGTTACAAACATATATACATACTGTAATGGGGAGGAAAGTAGGCCAAAACGTGATTGGTGGAAATTACCTGTACAATGTACAGGATGGCACTCTCGGTCATTGGTTGGTGGGATCTCAGGCATTAGGTCTGAGGTTCTCTTTTCTTTCTTCAGATATCATAGGGAATCCCCAAAAGGGGAATCAATCAATCAGGTTATCTACTAAGTTATAAAACCGACCTGATCAGGACCTTCGATGCTATCTTTATTGTTACTGTGCGACAGCCGTTACCCCTAGCACCATGCCCACCGCCGTACGAGTTGATACCTCTGGCTAAGAGCCTCGCCCCAGTTCAATACATGCCACATAATTTTGGATTTTCAAGCGGGGTTTCGAGAATACCCATATCTCTTCATTACAAAAAAAAGGTGGCTATTTCTGGTGTCCAAGTACATCATGATAATAAATGCCGACTTGTTGTTCCCAAGTTGCCCTGTTCCGTCCGTATACATAGACTGGCTGGGAATAGATATGGAAAAGTCCGCATATTGCCCTGACCTCATCCTCGAACGACAGCTTGAAAAAAGGAAAGGACATTCCAGTGGAATTAGGGATAAAGAAAGGAGAAAAAGGGAGATATTGAGACATCCGCCGCCGCCGCCACCGCCAGCTTCCGTTGGGCTGACTGGTACATTTCCCCCATGCATACATCTCGAACCCTCGCTGAGATAGATGCCAAAACGAGACCCATCCTCCGGGAATACACATATCAAGAGTAGGAAAATACATACGTAGAAGGAAAGATAAATACTCTCGTTGGGACATCTGCTCCGCTCCCATTTATCAACGCAGATTGAGACCTCTCTCAACCAGTCATCGAAACATAGATCTCCAAAATGTCATCCACACCAAGGAAGAGCCAGCTCTCCGATGTCGTCCCGTTTGTTTCTGTTCAGTGGAAAATGTAAGATCGTCTCGTAAAAGTTGTCGTGGTCTCGTGAGAGTTGCAATTTTCCACTGCGTTTTCCTTTGCGTTTCGAAGTGGCATATCCCTTCGGGGTCAAGTCTGGGAACAGGACAGCTTCGCTCCCATATGTAGTTTGGAATCGTACAGACAAAGTTGCCGCAGAGAAGGAAGTCCCATTGCAGCGCGAGACGGTCATAACAGCGGGAAGAACGGGATCGACCAAACTCCAAATGCTCATGTCAGACCAAGTGATCTCTAGGACATGGGGTTGCTTGCGCAGGTCATGTTTATAGAAAGCAAATATGGTGACTTTTCTGTTTCTGGGCCGAAAATGCTGCAGTCGCGAGGGGAATTCCATCTGGCCCCAAAAGGGCCAAAGTGCCGTCCTTGTGACACTTTGCCGTTACACGAAGTTCTTTGCCGTCACCATCGGGCCTTGTTTCAAAGTCAGTGTTTGCCGACTAAAGTTCGTCCAGCCGTCCGAGGGCTTGGTCAGCTCGTGCCGCTCTTCATGCGCAGTTCCTAGCCGAGGTGTATGCACACCAGGCCCATCGGCGCGGTGACCAGACCTGTTGGCGGAGGTCTTGTCTGGCAAAAAACCCTTGAAAAGAGGCTTCAGGCAAGGTATACATGCACAGACGATACCCGTGCCAACCTCAACCACCGACCATTTCATTGTGGATACCGATCCCATGGTGACATCCAGGCTGTCGACACTCCTGAGTACACTTATGCGTAGAGCCGATGCGACGGTTGCGAACAAGCCAATGGCAAACAGTAAAGACACGATATACTTTTGCCTCGCTGGTAGTTTAAGCCTGTAAAAGACTGGCAACGGTAGGGTACACAGCAAGAAGTCGGTAAATATCGAAAAAGCGGTGGTGAAGTAATAGAACGAGACGATTTGCAAGCAGTCTCTGGGAAGAGTAAAGTCCCAAGCTGCGCGGACCGGATGGCATTGGAAGATGGTAACGAGGATACTGCAGATCCAGACCGCGATAATGGCCACACCGAGAGCATACATTATTTTCCGAAAGGTAGGAGTCGGGAAAACTCGAAGATACGAAGTAACGATGGATATCTTGACCAGCATCAAGGCCGTCACGTACATGATTTGACATGTCCACAAGGTCTATTGCTGGTCAGCTTATTCTTTATCGAAGAAGGAGGTGTTTTATGACCTGAATCACTTTCTTTGTGTTGTCAACCAATCTGGAGTCCTGCGGGAGGTCATAGATGTGTTTCCCTAGGCCATATCGTATGCCTTTTGCTGTTGTCAGACAACACAATCGTCTCTCGGGTTGTATTCGCCAACTTACCAACTATCGACATAGCGGAGAAGGCATCAGCGAAGAGGCCAGCCGCCACCATGAGGAAATCGTCAACAGCCACCTGTCTCACCACGAAGCCTCTGACGATCAAGCGTATGATGATGATGACGGAATTGACACAGATAAAGGATATGTTGACTCGATAGATCTCTCCCACGTACGAATCGTGAGGTAGAAGATCTGTTGGAACTTGATTCATGATGAATAGATTCCGGCTTGGTCTGCCGTTGGGGTCCAATAGCAGGACGCGGGCGCTGTCCAATTACTGCAGTAAGGTTGACACTGGTGGGATAGCCAAAGGCAAACAGGCATAAAGAGGTATCAGAAATCGATATCACATTGATGAAAAGGCAAATACTGCATGATGAGGCTCGTTTTCGGGGGATCGAGAGGAAAAGCAAGCGCTATAAGGTCCAACGGTTTTTTCCCCCTCTTGCAGGTCGAGCTCTTTCTTTCCCTGGTTGTTTCCCCTTCCCCGTGGGCGCTCCGAGTCAAACAGGCATCGATGCATAGCGAGGGTTGCCGGGTTGGCACTTGTTGGGAGAAGTCTTGCCATTCTGGGGGGTCCAACCAATATCCAACCTGGTCAGGACTCAGTCTTTGCCTCCGTCGCGTGCCGTTGCAGAGGGGTTTTGGGACTAGAAGAGCGTGATAAACAGCGTGTATGGTGTGAAGGTGGCAGGGAGGACTGACCAAGGATACGCGAGAAGAGGCAGATGGTGCGATTAGCGCGAGGCACAGAGACGTGGAGATGGATTCTGGATGCGATGGATGTTTCCCGAAATGGCTCTGACAGGGCGCTTGGCAGCGGCCCCTGAACAGGCCTTTTTCTGCAAAATGCCTTTCTTGCCCTCTCATTCGCTGCGCAGCCAACAATTAGTTTGGCAAATACTCTCGAAATTCCCCTCCTGTACAATGTGTGTGGAGATTTCCCTCAGAGACAAGTCCAACACCCATGATCCCGGCATCCTCTCCACGAGGGAGAATCGTCAGGCAACTGTCAGAGCGCCACTGCCAGCCGCGTGGGATGAAGACAAGGTAAATAGCATGGTCTGACACAGAGCGGCCATACTTACACCCTTTCTCGCCGAAGACCGCCTACAGTAACGAAAGACCTACTCTGTAAGGAATTACTTGTTGATGGCCGGTGTGAAGGACAGAGTAAAACCATCGAAACAACCCAATAGAATGCTAATGAGAAGTGAAGAGTATCTGCGATCTGCATGATACCTCCCGACGCTACCATGTCTGACCACGTACTTAATGCTCATTTCCCCCCAAACGGGAACTATCGTACCATACACACGCCTTTGAATACGGGACATGCACCTGCAGAATCGCGTCCGCCTCCCCGAAGCGTCTCCCCCTCCTGTTCATGCACCGAAGACGTTGACAGAAGGAGCCAATATGCATGAGGACCCTGGTCCGGAGGAGCTTCTTCTGGGGAATCACCGTTTGAGAAGATAGGATCGACAAGCTTTCTCGGAGATTTTCTGTGATGACGGTAGATTCTACGAGTACGAACACTAGTTGGAGCCATGACTATTGGAAACCGAATCTCTCCATCCTCAGTCAGCAGCCACAAAGTCTCCCGCTACCGAGCAGGGGATGATTCTGGTCGAGAGACGAGTATGCCCTTTCCATCGGTCTCGTATGATTCTGTCCGGTATTTTTCAGGGAGCCACGAGGGAGATTTCACGACCTGTTTGGTGATATCATGACTCCGAGTAATAGTCGATCCTTTCCCAAGCATGCCTGTCCATTCTTAATGGGGCGAACTGCATTACCAGAACCCAAGTGATTGGACAAGACGATACACACACTGTGCTGCACTTCATGATCAGGCGGGTCGTGGGGCTTGCGAAAAGGACCATTACAGACTTGAATTCAATTATCAATTAGAAGACAGTGTCGTATCCTCTAGCAGCTTCTAGCATGCCTCCCGTCGTCACCAGATCATGACACAAAACGCATGTGAAAGCAATCCCTGCCCAAACTTAGCAACTGGATAACAGTAAGCCAACCTCGAACACCGTCTTCCTCAAAAGGGCTTGGTTGCAAAGGAATTGTGATAGTGCTCTTGATCCAGGCTCAGGCCGATCAGAAAGATTGTAATTGGGAGCAACTTCCCACTTGGCAAGAACCGCTGTGAACCTTTCCGCAAGAAGATCGGTACCAATTCAATTCCTTGTCATTGCCTCACTCAACTTGAGTTGCCAGATCCAACATGCACAAGTTCTTGTCCACCTCACATTGGTCTGTTTTCTTGTGGGTATGAACTCCAGAAGCCGAGATCTGGCTGGGCTCGACTACCTGAAGAGTCTTTATCCGGGAGGACTGGTGATACTGCGTGAACGTACTCGAAGGGTGAGTTAGGGGGTTCTTCCGCCCACTTTGTGCTGTAAGTCGCGGCCTCAAACTGGGCCCGTTTCCTATCTGCTCGTATATGCCAGGGTACTGGTGCCGTGGGTTTGGTGACGGTCGATGGTATTGGCCCTCGACTACCCACATAGCTTGGGTTTGGAGACCGTGACATGATGCATTCTAACAACCAATCAAGCTTTGTCTGCGGCAATGAGTCCATGGCTCGTCGGTGTATGAAACGGAAGAGACCATAGACTGGTCCCCCGAGGCAAATGAAGGCAGCAAGAATGCTAAACACCGCAATAAATGCATTGGATAGTTGCACGGCAGGAACACGGACGCTTATTGTCCGTTTGGCTGTCCGCTTCCGTTGAGTGTCTTTTGTGATCATGTAGGTCTGATAGAAACGTTGCAGCTCTCTTGCGCTGATGGTGGAAATCTTCTGGTCCGCCATTGACTCGTCTTTAAAGCGTGTGAAGTAGTTGTTTACCATTGCGGAAGGAATGCTAAAAACATCGTCAACATCGGGGAATCCTATCCAATCTGGATCCGGTATGCGATCGTTGGTGAGCTGGACAGTACAATCAACCCGCGTATATGAAGCAGAGCCCACCGGGCCCTCACCAAACCGACATGGGGCGTAATCATCAGACGCATTCTTCGGTGCGTGGTGAACATGCAAAGCTACCATGGACATATTCACCATGCGGTATGTCCCGATATGGCTGAGAGCTTCATCCCAATTTGAGTAGTTGGCCGCATACATACAGAGAAGCAAGTCTTTGATAAACGTTGCGTTGGTGTAGAAATCTCCAGCGTCGTAGTAGCCGTAGTCACTGGTCAGAAATGCAGGAAAAATTTCATCTTCTATTGCACCGCCAAACTTCCCTGTCAAAGTATCGCACTCTGACGTGAGGTACAGGGTCACTGGCGTTGACTCGATGGTCTCGCAGCTCATACTCCAAGTGTTGTTCCATTCGTCAGGACGGTAGACCCAAAAATCCGAAGTGTCGGGGATGTAGTCCAGCAGTTGGTCAACAGGAAAATTGGCACGTTCGAGACTCGTTTGGGTCAGATTCCACGGCACTTGTGAGACTGGCATGCTGTTATCTGTTCTCTGCGCAAGATGCCCATTGACCTCCGTGTGTACCACGACTTCGGTCAGTCTTGTTGAGTATTTGGCAATAGGACCAGATAATATGGTTGTGATTGAGAGAGCAATGACAACGAGGCTCTGAGCGACAATATTCCAATGTTGGAAGGCATGAGATTTCAACAGGAGGAGGATATCGATAGCCTCGCCTGGAGTGTTCAAGCTGAGCAGGGACGATACAGGCACGGCCTTTCCTTTGGCAGCTTGTCGCGCCCCAAGTGACCAGTAGCAGCGGGTGAATACGAAGATAGACATGCCACTGAGGGCTGTCACGAAGACATTCAAGACTGCTTGAACATCCTCCAACTCCCATGACCGGGGTAATGTAGTCCAGGGACTCATAGTGAGTAAAGGAAAGTCGCCGGCACTCTTTCGTTAACAGAAGATGGACAAGCACCGCAAAGCTGGAGGCGAAGGACGATTGTACAACTATGGCAGAGCCAGCCTGACACAATTAATACCCGTCGAGGCAATGTCATGGTCGAACATCATCTTGGGCTTAAACTCGTCAAACCTCTTGATCTTGGTGGGGGCCATATCGAAGAGGCTTGGATCGATATCCTCGGCCATGAGTTGGGAGACTTTAGACGAGCTCTGCGTGGTCGAAAAATGAAGGCCTCGCTTAGCAACTCAACTTCCATATCCTTTTTGGATTGCCAAGGTTGCCGGACTCGGGGCACCGTGAACACCCGTCCAGTCGGGTGGAGTGTCAAGGCGACAGATTGGATCATTCAAGAGGGAGCATCTCTCCGGCTTCTGGGCAGCTGAAAAGCCTTGCTGTTCTCAATCACGCTTCAAGACGTCTCTCGTATTCAACTCTTCCGATTATCCCGTATGGAAGGAACTAGGGATTTCAAATCCAGTGAGGGCGCAGATAAGGGAGGAGCGGCGACACCAACTGATCACACCACAGGGCAAATGGATGAAATTTTGATGCAGTGTTGCTCGCCCTGGAGACGCATGTGACATGTAACGGAGGGCCATTCAGACTATCTAGCAAGGCTGAAGTGTGTTCTCAGCAAAGAGAGATAGAACTTGCCTGTGCCTACCTGATGGACATGGGAGAAAATGTCGTGAGAGATGGCAAAGTAGAGACGATTTTTAGGACGTTCTCGGATTGAGAAGGTTCTGTTGGCATATCAATGTCAGAACTAGAATTATGTAACAAGCGCATCGTACACACATAATATCATCAAGTGCAAACAGATGCTAATGTGGCTGTGAGTGGCACTGAGTGGCATAGTTTTCTCGATGCAGAGGCCCTCACCACAACTCCTACTCGGCGCACTTTCCTCAAAACTCAATGCACCTCCTGCGTTTGTGTCAACGCGATTCAAGACACCGTCGACTTGAATTCCACTTCCAAAAACATCCCTTGGTGGCTTCAAAGGGGACTCGTCCACATTTTCTCAGCTTTGACCATCAATCGATTCTCGATTCTCGATTCTCATCTATAACTTCAGGGGTATTGTTCACATGCTCCTGTGACCTGAGCGACACCTCTCCTCTATCTGACTCTGAAAAATGGACACCAAAGATACGCCTTTCCCTCCAGCGGGCGATCTCCCCCTTCATCGAAACGCGCCCCTTGCGCCCACACAAGAGCTTGCCTACCGTAAGAAATGTATCGAGCTCAAGCGGCGGCTCGCCGAGATCGAGAGCAACAATGATGCTACCCGAAAGAGAATTATCCAAGAAACGGAGCACGTCCAGAAGATGCGCCTGCTCCGCGCCATCCTTCTCAACCACCTGCAGGACATTATGACTGCTCCAGCCAAGAAGTTGACCCCCGAGCAACTCGATAAGATTGGAGTTCTTGCAAATGGCAGCGGTAGTCTGGCCGAGCTGGCCGGGAGTAGCGTGGCACCTGAGTTGCAACGCAGGAGACCTGATGGGGAAGGTTTACTGGACGACAGCTCCGAAGCGAGTGATGAAGATGAACCCGAGGTTAGGAAGCCCTTTGCTCTCCATGGCAGACGCTTACCCGACACAGCCCGTCGAGCGACCTGAGCGACGGAGGAGAACCAACAACACGTACCGAGAGGCTATCATGAACACGACCACCCCTGGAGAGGCCGCACCGAACATGTATCAACAAACCACGTTGCCCAACCTTGCTCCCGCGAGCTCTTTCTCCCCAGTCCCTCCTCACGATCCCGCTACACTTACCTCGTCCTTCCGCATCAACTCCTCCACTCCACAAGCACCTGCAAATCCTGGATCCCAGCAACAATTTCCTGACGCGTCATATCCGCAATCATCTCCTATTCCAGGCGACCAGCACCTGCCAGTACCCTACGAGTCGCCGAGTCAGCAACGACCACCAAGTATACCCGCTGCACCAGAAGTCGGTGCGAACGGTGTTGCGCGCTCATCAGGAGCACCGGTACGCCCAGAACGACCAGAAGCACCCTATGTGCAATTTACAATGCACATGAGACCACAGTTAGAAGCTGATGATTACCCTCCTGAGCAAATTCCTGCTCGTATTCAGGCAGAATGGGATGGCCTTAGTGCGGACAACAGGAAGCTGTGGGACGACCGCTATGAAGACCAGATGAAAGAATATACGGTCGCTATGGATGCTTGGAAGCGTGCTAGTAGGAGAGAGCCATCAGGCAGTGGATTTTCCTCCAACTCATAGAGTGAGCCCGACACAACAATCAATTGCAACGATCAAAGCACGTCGCTTTAACAACCACCGATTCACCAGTCGCCATGGAGATACTAATGTTTTTGACCTTGACTATACGACCCCACAGCCTACACCAAGGCAAGTCGTGTACAGTCCTTCAGTGTTCGACCGAGCATCACCTCAAATTTGCAATAGGTGTCAGCATGTATCTCCATGGCTGGACTTTGCGGTTGAGGGTTTACCCGCATCCGCATCAAGACATCACCCTTGCGCTTATCGCGGACGAACGTCAGACTTGCGACAGCTGGTCCAGGTTACATGGCAGACAACGTTGAAATGACTTAGCATACTGAAACACGGTTGGACGACAGCTCATCGCATCATCACGTTGAGAGCTTCCCATTGCCCCATCTCATGAATATTGTTTCCGTCAGTGCAGCCATCGATGGGCTTGATCCTGCGAGAACTAATAGACAATTGAACTCTACCGAATGCTAGCCGTTAATCCCTAACGTGGTCTAGACGGAACGAGCCACCCTTCCGAGAGCACTCAACAAAACATCAATGACTGCGAATAAAAGATCAGACTCCGCATTCGGCACTATTCACTCATCGGGATTTCTGTATGGGTTAATACTGCATATCAGGAAATCATCCTAGTCAGCTGTTGCAGCATTGGTTTGGTTCTCAATTCTGATGCCAATACTGGGCACAGGGCAGAAAAGGGGTCCAGGAATGAAGTCAAAGTCATGAATGCTCTCTCTGGCTTAGTGATAGACTTCTGGTGCTTTTTTTGTTAGGAGGATGGTCGTGACGGAAGAGATGGCAGTGATACATGCTTTGCATTTGATATCAACCATATGGCAACACTAACTGCTATCTGGTCCACACCGAAGCTGACACGTGCCTGAATTCTGGTGGCACGGCGCTTTGAAGAATTACCCAACATGGATTCAGGATGCTCGGGTGCGCGTGGAACACATTAGTGTATATCATGGGTGAATGAGGAAACAATATCACTCCGTGCAGCGAGCGAACTACAATAGAGTCTGCACTATTTTTTGGTTGCCACGGTTCATTTGTTTTTTGCCTCTTGTAGCATCTGAGCCTCGCAGAGCTGAGAGGGCCATCTATCTGGGCACTCAATCCTCGACGCTTTTTCACCAAACAAAGTCTCCTGTCTGCCACCCTCCCATACATGTTGACGCGTCTTCCTTGTCTCGCCTCTGCGCTGAGCCATCCGCATGTCCCATCCCAGTCCCAGTCTTGTGTTGAGGTGCCTTGCCGATGTGCTAAACCATTACGGGCGTTCCATACACAGACAAGTACTGACTGTAAGCTCTGTGGCGATCGCGCTCGACAACGTCCAACGCCACAGACACAGGCAGGTGAGGTATTCCCGGCTTTCCAGGATTTTGCTCATGGCAGTCGTCGGAATGAGTTCGTGACTCCCGTGGCGACGCGTACCAGGCATAAAAGCGGGTTGCTCGTCGTGATACCATCTTCTCGAGACGCTCGTTCGCCCATGGCACGCATGGATTTGGCTGTCTCCATGCTTTCTGTTCTTTCATCAAATCAACCGTAAAAAACCATTATTCATTCCCCTTTCTTTCCCTTTGCCTCTACCTGTTTTCTACCCCTCAATCTTCATCCCAGTTCGGATTGGGCCCTGGTGGCTTGGGCCCTCCAGCTTGCCGCGCGACGATGATTTGATCAACGCTCAGAACCGTTCTCGCCGCTTCCGTGGCAAGTCGAATCGCCCACGACTTGGTCACCATCAGGTCCAGGATGCCTTCTTCCAGGGCATCCAGCACACCGGATGGTTCGCTGACTTCCAGGTCGATACCCGTTGTCCAGTAAGGTTCTTCCGATTCATCAGATTCGGCAGAGTCGTCGGAATCGTCGTTTTCCTCGTCATCTTCGTCGTCGTCGCTTTCGTCTTGTTCGCCATTTGCTTGTTTCCGGCGTTTCACCTCCTCGCTGGATCCTACTCGGCGTTGGTGAGCTGTGTACAACCTTGCTACCACTTCTGTCGCATCCAGTCCGGCACTCTCTGCCAACGTTCTCGGGATAACCTCGAACGCCTCCGCATATTTTCTGATGGCGTACTGCGGTAAGCCTGGCGTCTTGTCTGCGAAATGGCTGATTCTCTCCACAAGTTGCATTTCCGTTGCACCCGCGCCTGGAACAAGTCGAGGATCTTTTGTTACCGCTTTTATAACGTTGACACCGTCATCAATTGCGCGCTCCACATCGTCGAGATGGTTTTGAGTTGCGCCTCTCAGCACGATGGTCGCTGTACGTGTCGTCGCTGTCTCAGACTCTTGGCGGAAGACGGTTACTCTGTCACCACCGATCTCAGTGGTCTCGACGACATCGATGCTGCCCATTTCATCGGGCATGGGCGCTCCAAGGCGGGCCAGAGGAGTGGCGTTACACACACTGCAGAGGCGTCGAAGTTCAAACTTCGACATAATTTTGACAACGAGGATACCCATTCGATTCAAGTAGTGCATAGCCAGTTCGCCCACGGTCGCGCCTGCAACGCACACGCGAACTCCCGTATCGTAGATTTCTCGGATGGCGCTTTCAAGCTGGGCTTCCTCGCCTTTGGAGAAGGCCATCATTTCCTTTGCGTTTTTCAGCAGAACGGTTCCCTTTGTTTCTGTCTGGGAGATGTCGATCGGGCATGAGAACACGGCGACTTTCGCCTTTTTCGCTCGCTTCACCAGACCTTCCGGTTCGCGGCCAAAGACCATGCCTTTAACGACTTGGGAAGAAGCGAGGTCTCCGCCCATGATCTTCACTACGCGAATATTGTCGACATTGAAATTTGCCGGATTCTTGGGTAGCACGGCCAGCACAGCCTGGGCAATCAACTGCGAAATAAGATCCTCGGAGCCAGATTGCTTTGAAGCAACAACAGTGCGAAGGGCTTTGCTGAGCTCGGCGGCGGACCGAACATCAGAGACGGTGTCAACTTCCAAGTCTATTGGCCCAGTGTCAGTATTTCGCTCTTGAGAGGAGAACGGGTAGTGCCCTGGTACCTTCTAAGCACTTCAGAGCATAGGCCTGCGCCTTCTCATACCCAGACACGATATCGCTTGTTTTTAGACCCATTCGTATTAATTCCTCGGCTTTCTTGAGCAGTTCTCCAGCCAGAATAATGACCATGTTTGTGCCATCTCCCATCTCTGCCTCTTGTTGTTGACTGGCCATGACTAGTAATTTTGCGGCGGGGTGCACTACGTCTAGTTCACGAAGGATGGTTGCAGCGTCGGAAGTCAGAATCATCTTGGACAGATGGTTAATGACAATTTTGTTGCGGCCATATGGACCGAGTGAGGTTTGAACGGTCTGGGCAATTGTTCTGCACGCATCGATCTGTAAAGACGAGTTAGAACATGAGTGGCCTGAGGGGTTGAGAGAGGACATACATTTCGTATCACGGCACCATCCTCAGCGTCATAGCTGTTGTAGCCGGGCTTGAACAGCCCTGACTGGGAGGCCTGGGGTATAGCTAGAGACATCGCGGTGACCGGTGAGCAAAAAGTCGAGAAGATGTCGACTGGATGGAGGGGATGAAATCCGTGACAAAAATTATTGACGTTGCCCCAAGGCTGGACGTCAGCCTTGCCAAGCCGGTCACGTACTTCGTCCTCGTGAAGTGAGTGCCCGCCATGTCTTCAACCTAGTCAATATTGACGTTTATGGGTGGCTACCTAGGTATGCTGGTGCTGTCACGATAATGAGTACCTACGGAAGCGCGGAAGAGTCTTCAAAACTTCACAAGCATGGCAGGACCACCCGCCGACAGCAATGGATCTCACCTTGACTTGATGTCTGCGGAGGACGGTGATATCTCTTCAAGGTAACGTACTCAAAAAAAGGCGCATGGCTTTGCTAATATCTGGGGACTAGACTGCCCGATACTACCGACTCAGAATCACCGGCTCGCCCTATAGACCCTTCTCCCCTCCCATCACCGCATGCGAACAAGACACCCTCGAAAGTAACAACTCTGAGGCTCCCTGTGAACGGGGAGGCGTTTGAGACCAGCACCACCACTGAAGGAGGCGGTTCTCACAATCCTGAACACGTCGGCCAGAAAGATGATGGCCCACTTGATTGGTACGTGGAGGGGCCAGGCAGGCGAGTGGGCTACGACGACCTGACTGCAATCGATTGGATCTATGAGTATACAAAAGAGCGGCAACGACTGAGAAAGTTCCTGGCACATGATACGGGCCTTGTTGGAAATTTGAGGCAATTACTCGATGCCAGTCACGTTTGGTTCGTCCTCGTCGCAAGTGGAATCTCGGTGGGTTGCGTCGCAGCTTTCGTCAACATCGCCTCAGACTGGCTGGGCGATATCAAGACAGGTTACTGCAAGAAAGGAATTGGCGGAGGCGATTTCTATCTCAACAAACAATTCTGCTGTTGGGGTCATGATGAATTCACTCAGTGTCAGGATTGGACACCATGGCCTGCAGCATTGGGTATCAGAGCAAAGGCCGGCCAGTTCATTATGGGCTACATTTTTTTCATTGTCTTTTCTATACTTTTTGCCGTTTCAGCCGCGGTCCTTGTCAAACACTATTCGGTCTATGCCCAACACAGTGGCATACCAGAAATCAAGACCGTCCTGGGAGGATTCGTCATCAGAAGATTTCTCGGCACATGGACTCTGATCACAAAGTCTTTTGGTTTGGTGGGTTCATCGATAGATCTGTTGGTATTTGACCTGACATCGCACAGATACTTGCAGTTTCTTCGGGCATGTGGCTTGGAAAAGAAGGCCCATTCGTCCACCTGGCTTGCTGCTGCGCCAATCTCATCATGAAGCCATTTGAGTCGCTGAGCCAGAACGAAGCTCGAAAGCGAGAAGTCCTTTCCGCCGCAGCTGCATCTGGTATCTCAGTTGCCTTTGGCGCGCCAATCGGTGGTGTGCTGTTTTCACTTGAGCAGCTCTCGTATTACTTCCCGGACAAGACTATGTGGCAATCGTTTGTGTGCGCGATGGTGGCAGCAGTCACGCTTCAAGCGTTGAACCCGTTCCATACTGGCAAAATCGTCCTCTACCAAGTCACCTACACGATTAGGTGGCACAGCTTTGAACTTGCGCCATTTATTGTCCTCGGAGTCATCGGCGGAGTATATGGTGGACTGTTCATCAAACTAAACATGTTCGTGGCAAGACTGCGTAAATCTACAAACTATCCGTTTCACAACAAGCCGCTTCTCGAAATACTTGTTGTCTCCGCCCTCTCTGCCGTCATCAACTACCCGAACCTCTTCATGCGGGCTCAGTTGTCTGAATTGGTGTACTATCTGTTTGCAGAGTGTGCGACTATCGGGAACAACGATATTTTTGGTCTCTGTCGTGCCACAACTGCAGGGGCTCTGTCTATGGCATGGCTCTTGGTCGCGGCTTCATTACTGGGTTTCTTGCTTGCGAGCATTACATTCGGATTGCGAATTCCGGCAGGGATTATTCTGCCCTCGCTGGCCATTGGCGCGCTTTATGGGAGAACACTGGGTGTGTTTGTTGAGCTGATACAAAAACACTTCTCGACGTCGTTCTTGTTCGCTGCCTGCGAACCTGATGTTGCCTGCGTTATTCCCGGCACATATGCGATCGTGGGTGCTGCTTCAGCACTGGCCGGGGTTACAAGGATGACCGTTTCGATTGTTGTTATCGTATTCGAGCTAACAGGTGCCCTTACTTACGTTTTGCCAATTATGATTGCGGTCATGCTTGCCAAATGGATTGGAGATGTCTTTTCGCCACGAGGCATCTATGAGTCTTGGATTCAATTCAACGAGTATCCATATCTCGAAAACAAGGACGATGCAACGGTGCCTCATGTTCTTGTTTCGAGTCTCATGACAAGAGTGGAGGAAATGAAGTGCCTAGATGCCAACAGGTCTTATACTGTCGGAAGTCTACAAAAGATCCTCCGAAGCACATCTTATCGCGGGTTCCCAGTGGTTGCGTTCAGAAAGCCAGCAGGTGATGTCGCTGAGACAGGTGCAAATCGACACTACCCACGCGAGAACACTCTTCTAGGCTACATCTCTCGAGTCGAGCTGGCCTTTGCGCTGGAGCGGATGACGCATCCCGGTAGTCACCAGTCCAGACTCGAAGCTGAAACGGTTGTTGATTCAAGAACCCTGTGTTATTTTACCTACCACCCCGACATTGCTTTGGGTACTGGGATCGACTTGCGGCCGTGGATGGACCAGACGCCTATCACGTTGAATGCGAACAGCTCCCTTCAACTCGCGGTGCACATGTTCCAGAAACTTGGGCTTCGATACCTCCTTTTTGTTGAGCGTGGCGCATTCAGAGGCATGCTCACCAAAAAAGACGTTTGGTGGATACTGTCCGCATCCGCAGATGGACGCAAGGCTGGAGTGTTTGTCGCCGATGCAGAAGCTGTTCGAGACTCTGTTTTGGACGAAGAGGCCGAGGAAGCCAGAGGCCTCCTTCAAGCAGACTCAGGTGATCGAGATCATCAAAGACTGCCGACTTAATCAAACTTCCATTTACCAGAGTCTGGACCTTGCCCTTTTTTTACCTTTTTCTTAGGAACATACCAGAAGCCATGGCATTGAGCACCTAAATTTCCCAAGGTCCGAATGTTCGGGTCTACGGAAGTTTTCTCCCGGCAGAAACTCAACAGGGAACTCGGTGGTCGACGCGGGATCCTCACTGATTATTACCCATAACTGCCACCAGCAGCAAGCCAAAAAAAAAGGGGGGGCTATGCTGTTTCAGCAGTCCAGTCCAACGCATCTTTCTGCCTCTGCCATGGAGCCATAGGACAACTTCCCCCTTGCATAATCTCCCGAAAAGTCAGAAGCAAACTCTCTTGTACACACAAACTTACAAGGACGTACAAATTCTGTCGGTAAACTGCGGTGATCCATAGAAAACCCAGAGGGAAAGGCCCAGAAGCCCAGCTGATCATCCGCTCTCTAGAAGGTCTGGAATATCGCTTAGAAAGACATTGGCCCATGCCACCTCTGGCGTGTCTCTAGCAACTCCTTTAGGTTATGGTTTGGCGAACTTTAAGGCTCTACAGCAGGACTACCACGAGGCGAAGACGCAATATATTGGTGTCTTTGGCCACAGCACCAGGAGCAAACTCGTCATTGGTCCTGGGCCAGCAACTGGAGCCCTGCTTGCCCACGGGAAAAAACAGGGGACGATGAGGCGAGGGAGCTGAGCCGAGCCTCGCGCGTTACCTATGCTCCCTCCTGATGATCCCCTTTCCCGCAACCGAAATGATCAGCAACAACGTGTCGATTCACATGGCCTCAAGCAACGAGGCATGCCGGATTGGCAGTTCAATGCGCGTTGCACCGATAATGATAAACTAATGCACACACAGTACACCAACCCCCTCTGAGTACAACTAAGGACGCGTCGATACTGCTAATCGTCTGCAATCATCACTTAGCTTGCTCTGGTCTCAAACTCAGGCCCTGCGAAGTCGGGCACGCCGCGGTGGTCGTGAGGCGCCGAGTCAACTACTTGGAGAAGATGGTGAAGATTTCGAATCTTTTGCGAAGCGTGCGACCAATACGGGGCATGATTTGCGTGCGCCACGAGGTGCTAAGCGAACATCCACTTGTTCTCTGGTGGGAACGAGCACGGCTCGGGGATCAGCCCTGAACCTCAATGGTGTCAGAAGCAAGCTCTCTGCTGCTTTTTCCAGTAATCCTTCACCGGCAGCTAAGATGAGGTTACCCACGCGTACCTGCTGAATCGGTCTTGACTCTTGAATCTCGAGTCTCACTTCCCGCACAGATGCCGCCATGGTTCGTCTCAGGTGTACACCGTAGAGATGACACAGCCTTTATCCGACTCGACGAAATCTCCAAGCGACACCACCAACACCTTGGAAATGAGTTAGCTGATCAATAATGCCAGCTCTTCCATTGCGCGGGAGTCGGAGTTCCTGCCTAGTCAAAGCGATTACCCACCTCTTTTGTTGACCAGGGCAGGACAAGTATGTACGATCTACTCGGGATGTTCTAACAGACTGGCAGACTGGCAGACTCGGTTTCTCAAACGAGCTTCAATAGCTTCAGGGGCAGACGGCTGAGCCCTATTTACAGCCGAAGCAATATTCTACAGTCTATCGATCGATCTGGTGAGGATGACCTCGGCTCCAATATTCATGCCCAAATGGACACGATATCGATTTTACTCGTAGAAGCCACTCCTGCACTCAGATTGGCAACCGCCGTTTCTGGTTACATCACTACAATTGGGAGCCATTTCTCTCCGTCAGTGTCGATCTCTGTGGTTTTTGACGTACAATGGTCATAATGGTGTAGATAGCGAGTGCGATCAAGGGAGCTCGTTGCAAATCATTGGTGCTGATGGAAAAACTCTCAACAGGCTCCACGCCCCTCCACTCTAGCACGTTGCTTCAGCTGCAACACGTTTTTTGGTTTATTACCAGGTACATGCCTAGGGGACGTTGTACCACCTGGAATGTCACTGGGCCTGGGAGTTACGGACAAGAAATTCCTAGTCAATGGACCCAAATCTGCGGACCCAAGGCGAAGCATAATGCCCACTACTGATGCAGGAAAATGGGGGTTTTCCTTTGAAGCCAGAGAAATCCGTGCACGAGCAGCGAGGTGGGAGCACTCAGACGAACCAGCGACATGGCCCAGTACGAGAAAGTCCTGCACGGCAACGATGACGATAGCGAAAGGTCCTCAAAAGTCGTAATTGTTGCAGTTGTGAGGCTCCTCAGCAAGTTCAAATTAATTGAAAACCCAACATTCGTATGGCTTGTGCCAACGAGGAGATTGGACAGCATGGCCAAACTGGAATGACCATGGTCCTTTCTTGCAGGGTATACCGGTGCTTTGGATTGGTCACCAAACCCTTGGAGTTTGGATGCCTGTGGCCGCGAAACCCAACAGCAAATCCGAAATGTGGGAGCTGATCAACAAGCTGCTGATCCTTGCCGCGAACGAACCCAAACCATGAAGACTCTGAGAAGTGAGGCTTCTGCAATCAACAGGTCTGATAGGAGTATAAGCGCCACAATCTCACCCCTGGCTGCTCAAGCATGTGGATATCTATCTGTACGAATGATGACGGTTGTGGAAGCAGTGAACGGAGTGGTACGCAATGGATGTACTCGGTACTCACATGTACCTACCGAGTACTCGGTACAGTACGTGCGATACTCCAGCCACCTCCAAGTCCTCGGTATGAATCGACGATCAAGGGGTCAGAGCTGCCCTGAGTACCGAGTACAACTTGTCGCTGGGAAAAGTCATGCCACCCATCTCGCTTACAGGTACAACGAGACTGGTGTACGTGCACTCTGAAACGAACTGTTCAGATGCTAGAATTCTATCCAACAATGCCGGCAGTTTGAGGGGATCAAGCCCTTTACCCTAGTCTCTCGCTTGGGGGGCTTGGAATTGGGGAATCTGATGAAAACCTACTAGGTAAATATCTTGGATGCTAGTCACTTCCCCGGGCCCCCTAACCCTGGCTTGAGCAGCACCAATAGCGAAGAGGGCTTGGAAGCCTGAGCCATGGAAGGGAGCCTACTGAACGGTGCTCTAACTACTCGTATACCGGAGCACTCAACTGTATCACCTTTACCTGGAGCTTTCGAGTATTCCGTGCCTGGTTCATTGATTTAGTGGTACGTAATGTGCTGACAGTGGCAATATAGTCAACTCACATGCTTCAAGCGGCTGGTCTTGCCTATTTACGTACTATCACTCTGGTTGTACTCGACCATTGGACGCAATCGTCGACAGACGACGTCAGACCGTTGGATCCTTCTGCACACTGTGAACCATGCTGTCGAACACAAGGGTGATCTACGCCACATGACGACGTTCTCGACGACCATAGCAAAATCAGTTGAGCTCGAGGGCGAACGGTCGTTGGCACGGCCTTTGCGATGGATGCCCTAAAATCAACAATCTGCTTCTACTGGACACACCACCAGCATGGCCATAGGCAAATAATCGTAATAAGTCGGTACCTGAAGCAGCCCGATGCTTTGGGGAAAATCCCTTGGTGCAGGGATCCATCAGTCGGGTCTTTGTTACCCATCACTCTCTGGGTGCCGTGGGGCGAATGTGGCTGGTTCCTTCTTTGGTGTCTGGACTTTTCATGCAGGTTCCCATGTCACTGGCACCCTTTTCCGACAGGGCTACCCTGTTTCGCCTATGAAGACTGTGCCGGGTGTCTCCTGAATGATGCCAGTGGATGAATGTTGAGGAAACAAGCCACCCTTTCCCCTGGGCAGCTTGCAGTGGCTTCCCGCCGTTTGTTTGTCCTAGTGGATGACGGCATGATGACACAGAGTCAGACATCGCTAGTGTATACGACGCAGAATCATACTCCCGAGAACAGAGAGGGCCATCAAGGCGAATATGATCAAGTTGCTGGATGGACTCGATACAAGTCTCCGGCCAGTTTACCAGGTGTTATTCGAAACATAACCAAGGCAACCAGCACCGTATCGTCCAATTTGGGGAGTCCATGTGATCTACGATATTTTGGTCTTCTTTCCAGGAGACGGTATCGAGACATGTTCCATTTGGGGAGCGGGCCCATCTTTGATCTGCCTCAATGCTGCCGTTTTGCTCTTCCGTGTGCAGCAGAAAGAGGGAATTGAGGTACCTACACCCGAGCAAAGCCATCGCTAACATTCTGCAAGTCAAGGTCTAGCTCTGTCGATCACTTACTCCAGAGGTCCAGGTACGCACATTCCCTACATACTCGTACATATATACGTACATAGGTGCAAATGGAACGTGGTTTGAGATCATATTAGCTTTCGTTACGACACCGGGAAATTTCGATAAACCCAGGAAGGATTGATACCCAGGCACCCCCCAAGGGTTTTTCTTTTTGGCTTCACCATGCTCCACCAGCCAGCCTAGAAGGCGTCTTGCCATTTGTTGGCCAGCATGGTCGACCGTTGAACGAAAAGGTGTGGTACCTTACATTTGACAAAGTCCATTGTTCCCGAGTCCAGAAGGCATGCGGCAAGGATTTCCTGGTCTGTCTGTCGTCTACCCGTTGGCCCCCGTTGCCAATGCCATTGCCAATGTCACCGAAAGGCAAAAGGGCCACAACGGCGGTGCCTGGCCCTGTACTCGGGACTGTATACCTCCAGACCCAGGAGTTCTGGGAGTTCTGGACCTCGTACCTATGCCGAGTCAGTCCCTCATGTCACAGTGTTTCCGAACTCTCCTTTGGAACTATCACGGGGGTTGTCCGTGACGTGTGAGTTCCTGCCCCCATGGGTCCTTTGACGGGAGCCACAGAGTTGTCAAAGAACGGAGGCTGCCCAGGCTCGAGTTCCGACGCGTTTGTTCCTGGGGGAAGGAAGGTCTTGAAGGGCTCCAGAGTTGAAGGGAAAGGCCCGGAAGTGCCCAGCTTGAGACTCTCGAGCAACGTTGGTGGACATTTCCCTGACCCCTTGATTCTTTACCGAGCAAGGAAAGCCTGGACGCAGATCACTGCCACTACTACTGCAACCCGGCGCCCCCAGAGAAAAGGCTCGAATGGGCAGCCAGTCTGAGACGTGAATCGCCCCGCAGTGGTCGGAATACCATGCAGCATGAGCATCTGGTGGTATCCTCCGACGAGCCCTCGCAGCGTTTGCAGGAGCCTCTGGTTTCTTGAACTAAAAGGCGCCTAATGCCGGCTCTTCGGCGCCGGCTACCTGTCTTTCCTACAGTGGCATGGTTCCAGGCGCTCGGTGCAACACCATCTCCATGCCCGCGCCTCGTACGGAGCACGGAGCCTGCCAGAGCACCCCTCCCAGACCTCTCTCGCTCTCGACCCACGGGCGTTGAGATTCTCCACCCGCTGCACAGGTGCAAAAGGGCCTCCCCCTGGTGCCCCCAGACTGGCCAAACCTGTCATTACATGACATCCGCCGTCCCAGAAGCAAGGCTCCACACAGCGTTGCGCCATGGGACTCCCCCACCGCGCCGGTGCGACTGGTCAGAATCGATCGCGCCTCATGGTCTCAAATGCTAAGGTGCTCGTGGTCAATGATGAGAGTTGCCCCCACAGAGTCGGTTTGACCTTGTCGGAGAGAAAAGTAAGTGCAGCAAATCCACCAATTTGCAAGCTACTTCCACTCCAGTCTCCTCCCCCCAAGAAGCATCCAAGTGCAATACTATACTCTTTAGCCATTGTAACCCCCCTCAGGATTCCATTCTGATATCCCCGTCTCTCGGGTGTCCACTGAGGAAAACAAAATTGAGAGGCCCTCCACGTGGTAACCGATCTCCCCTAGTTCTCTCAGGATCTTCCTTCTTGATGAAATTGGTTTGACGCTAGAGGGAGAGCACTGCCAGTCGGGCATCTCTTTCCATGACCAAACACAACCGTTCCTACTCCAGCGCCGAGGTGTCGAGAGAGACCACCGAAAACCTCTACGAGTTGGGACTGCTCAGTCGTCCTCGATCAAGGTCTCGGACGAGCACAAACCATTCGAAACCGGCCCACAGTAAGACCTCCAGCAACATTCCTTCTTTTTGCGGCCGGGATTCCCCTTCTCCAGCGTTGTTGCCACAGATCATTTCTGCTCCAGCAAGACACCCACGGCAAGGATAAGGGAGAAGAAAAAAAAACTGACTCATGGTTTTGTACTTCCCAGACCAGGTCTCGCGAGCCCGCCACGACGGGTATCCTCCTCGCGTGGCCTCCTCACTGGGCGGTGCTTCGCATAACTCGACCTACAAACAATCCAGCATCTCCTCTGGCACCTTGGGCAGGCCGCATACCCCGAACGATCATCGTCCGCGTACGAGGGACCAACGCCCGCCTCCTTCCCCCACGACAAGCGTCCCAGGAGCTGGGCATCCCATGGCCGGCATGCTCGACTCGGACCGCTCACGTTCACGACGAGAAAGGACGTTTGTTGGAGGGGAATGCGCCGCTTGCGAAGAGCTTTTGGAGCATACACTGAGGGGCGAGAGGGTTTTACAATTTTCCTGTGGCCATGTCGCTCACGAGGCTTGCTTTTACGAATACATCCGCGACTCGGACTCCCAGTACTGCCCGACATGCGATGCCCCCTTGAGCCTGGATTCCTTCCGGGGAGGCAGCATCCTGGATTTGAGTAGGTTTCCCTCTCTCTCGCGTCTGCAAATCTCACTCCTAATTCAAATTCACAGCCAAATTGAGTAATATGGTTCGAGCGGTCGCTTCCAAAGACGTATCTTCGCCGCGGAGTTCACAAAATACACCCATGCCCTGGGAGGCCAGCCGACAAGTGGTCCAAGATGACTCCTACAGCTCACAAGGAATGAGTGAGAGACTCAGCCGCGAGAACACCAACCGAGATAGTCGAGACAGTCAAAGAATGCGCATCGAACGCCTCGGCATTGGTCATGGCCCTCACGGATCGCAAACTCATTCACGCAACGACAGTGGCAATGCTTCCTCGACTGATTACACCAACGACCATGCCGGTCACCCACGAAAGCATGATTACGATCTCCACGCCATGGAAACGACTGTCCCAGGAACTCAGATCAAAGATATCAAGCAACCCATCCCGGTTCCCACCGTTACCGTTCGCAGCGAGTATCCGACCTTGACCCGGTCACGTCAACAGCAGACCGTTACATGTTTAGTTACTATTGAAGTGCCCGAAGGTAAATTCCATGGCCCAATGGATGAAATGCAGAACACGCCCCCGGTCCCTCCACTGCCCAGCGACTCTGGAGTCGGTATTCCCGCAATGCATAGGCATCAAGAAACTCAGCAGCCACCTCTCGGGTACGAATCTGCCGAAATCCTCGACGAAATCACCGAGGAGCTGAGGATGCGAGTGGATAACTGGCACGGGCTTGAGTTTCAGAGATTTGGCAAATTACGTCTGCACAGTGTTATCAGAGTTGGCAAGGACCGCCACTCGTGGCAAGAGCTTGAGTGTTACCTGTTTGGAGAGATGCTCATTTGCGTCAAGGAGAAGAAGAACGCCCAGCCTCCATTGATCACCGAGTCCGGCCGCAAACTGACGAGGTGTACCTTGAAAGGCTCTATTCTGATCAAGAAACACTTGCGACAGGTGCATGCATCTCCCGATGAGTGCATCTTGACGTTAAACCTGTCAGTAGCAGAGTTGCCAACCTTTCACCTTTTGTTCCAGGATCGCGAGAAGCTGGAAATCTGGCAACGAGCATTACGAGACCTTCATGCCACCGAACCCTCTCCTCGCTTCAACCACGACTACGAACAAGATACCTCGGGCACGGATGAAGAAGAATACGGTCGCCAGAATCGAGCCGTTCGACGCGTGCCTTCTGTTGCGTCGTCTTACGGAGGGCCACGGTCGGCCACGACGGCGGCCACGGAATATTCCATGTCAAAGAACATGGTTGACAGGCGAGTCCCTCCGTCACTACATGTCCCGATCGATATTGTGGTTGTTATTCCCGTGTCATCTTCTATGCAAGGTCTGAAAATCACCCTATTGAGAGACACACTGCGATTTCTCGTGCACAATTTGGGCGATCGAGATCGGATGGGTCTCGTTACCTTTGGTTCAAGTGGCGGAGGCGTTCCGGTGGTTGGAATGACGACCAAGACATGGGGTGGATGGAACAAAGTCCTCAACTCGATCCGCCCCGTGGGACAAAAGAGTTTGCGGGCGGATGTGGTTGACGGCGCCAACGTGGCAATGGATCTCCTGATGCAACGCAAGGCCGCAAATCCGATCTCGACCATTCTCCTGATCAGCGATTCCTCGACTTCCGAAATGGAAGGGGTGGACTTCGTTGTTCAGAGAGCCGAAGCTGCAAAGTATGTTCGCCGCTCGACTCCATGTTGCTTCCTCTGCTAACTGTCAACAGGGTTGGTATCTACTCCTTCGGCCTTGGACTTACCCACAAGCCAGAAAGCATGCTGGAGCTATCGAACCGAACAAAAGCGTCGTATCTATACGTCAAGGACTGGATGATGCTCCGCGAATGTGCTGGAGGTGTTCTAGGCGCTCTTCAGTCGATATCACACCAGAATGTGAAGCTCAAGCTCAAGCTGCCTGAAGGGTCCCCTGCCAAGTTTGTCAAAATTAACGGTGCCCTCCAGACGACCAAGAGAGCCACTGGTCGGGACGCTGAAGCAAGCTTGGGAGATCTTCATTTCGGCGACAAGCGCGATGTGTTGGTGCAGTTGGTGATTGATCCGGATACCTCGACCTCGGAGCCGGCGCCACAGGACGCTTGGGAATCTATCGTGTCTGGGCTCGAAGCCCTAGGTGGTTCGCTTGATACCGATGACCAGAGGGTTCAGAGTGTGGAGGAACTGCCTCTGCTCCAGGCCGATCTCTCATTTGGCGACTTGCACCGCGAAGGCTCGATCGTACAACTACCCCGGCCATCCCTGCTGACCATCACCATGCTGCCCTCGAACCGCCGCTCACGCCAGAATGGAAGGCCGCCGACACCTCCGATCCCTCCGCATCCCTCCATTGTCCAAAGGCGTATGGAGTTGTTGACGTCCGACATGTTAAGCCGCGCCCTCACTCTTGTCCAGCGTGGTCAGCACGAGCGTGCGCACCATCTCCTAAACGAAACAAGGACCATTCTCAAAGGGCTAGGCAAAGGTGGTCTCCCACCACTACCTCCCGGCGCCACCCAACCATTGAATAAACGACATAGCCCACAATCCAAGGCAGGCAGCCCAAGGGCCGCCACACCAGACCACGCCCGCGACCACAGCCCCCATTCCGACACAAGCACACCTATTCCGCGCTCAACCAATGTTGATCACACCATTATGAATGCTCTCGACGCCGACATCGAAGCTAGCTTGGAGTGGATCAACCATCCTGCCGTGTTCTCCCGCGACTCCCGCAAAGCCGTCCTCCAGGCAATCGGAGTCATCTCATCCCAACGGGCTTATACATTCCGAACTGCATCTGAATCTTTATGGGCAGAAAGAGTCACCGGAGTCAAGAGGCTCACGGAGCAGTCGAGAGAATGGAGGGAGACAGGCGACGACGCTCTGACTGAAGAGTAATACGAGGCCTTTTTACGACATGATTCTATGTACAAATTCCTCCCATATGTGCGTTGTACATTTTCGTCATTATGTTTGCTTGTTCGGAAGGTCAGCGAAAGAAAGAATGAAGCCTCTCTCTGTGTCTTCTGGCGAAGGAACTTTTGCCACAGCACTTGAAAAGTTTGAGCGGTTCGTATGTGTTTTATTTTTTGGAACATTTATACCCAAATGTAACAGAAGCGGCTTGATGACAGCACTCGAAGCGACATTTCTATAGATTACGCCTTGCTCGGTGCATAGTGGCATATAGTATTGCGTCGAATCTATCGACCTTGACATGGTATTTATTCTTGTTCAAACTAATAATATCAAATCAGGCATGGAAATGTCCCGAGTATTTTGATCTTGTATCTTGATCTTTGTAGTTGCCATCCTCGACAGATGATTGGTCGATGCAGGGTTCAGCCTTGTTCAGCCTCGCGCCACACGAAATTTTTGCTTGTCGCCGCCTCGCCAAGAAAATATGCCTGTAGAGAATTGTCTTCCATACAACAATGAGTTCCTCGAAAGTATCGATCCTCTCTTGATCCTCAGGGGCTAGAGTAAGGAGATAAAAGGTCTGCAGCATCTTGTTGCACCATGGAAGACATAGCAGTATACTGCTCCTGGGCTGATGCGCAACTCAATGCAGACCACTCATTTGTCAAAGTACTTCCGACCGAAGTCCGATCACTTATTATCAGATCAACAACAGCATCTCAGTATTTGGAGACACTTGCCAGTGCTACTCGGGAACCTCGATATACAGATGTGCTTTTCTCGCTATACAAACCGCTCTTCCCCGAGCTGCTCGCCAGGTGGTCAACCCCTCCTCGCAGCACTGATCTCACTGACACTATCACCACCATTTCATGTCTGGCTCGGGTCCTGCCACTTGCGACGTATCTGCGCCCTCATGTCAAGTGGCTTCTTCGGTCAGACCATCTGAGGCGTCATCTGATGAGTCTGAGGAGTGCTACCTCTGAGCTCCGTGACGACGATGTCCAACATACACTGCTACTCGCCGTCTTCCGCCTCCTCTCCGTTGACCGACGCATCCTCGCCGACATTGTCACTCCGGTCTTTTTCTCGTCCTTTTTACGTCATCGCTCCTTGCCAGTCAGATACCTGGCTGTCCAGTGCCTGTGCATAACCATGCATTTTGCCGACGCTTTTTCCGAGACAATGGTCAGGACGTACGTTGGCGAGGACGCCATCTTGGGGGAATGGGAGGGCCGGACGATTGACTATCGACTGCTGAAGCTTTGGGAAGAGAGACGTTGGAATGATCTGACCCGCGCACATGCCGAGATTGAAAAGTCGTGGAATTCATTACAGACGCCACCTTCGAATGCTCCCAAGCTGCTTGCTGCATGTTTCTCACCACGCCTCGTTCATATCGGTGGGGTTCTTCACTTACCCTTGGGCGACCACACGCAAAGCCTCTCTACGTCCTCTACTTCTTCATTCATCCCTACCATCACGGCACAACACAATTTACGTCAGCTTGGTGAGTGTTTGTTGGATTCCCGACCGATCCTCATCCTGGGGCCGGCCAGTTCCGGAAAGACCTCGTTAGTGCACGAGGCCGCCAGGGCTCTAAATCAATCGTCGTCGATGATTACATTGCATCTCAACGAACAGACTGACGCTAAGAGTTTGTTGGGTATACACACCTCTTCGGCGGATGGCAAATCTTTCACCTGGCAACCCGGCGTGTTGACCAAGGCCATGCAACAAGGACGATGGGTTCTGATAGAAGATATTGACCGGGCACCTGGGGAGGTTATGGGAGTGCTGCGTCCACTTCTTGAGAACGGTGATCTCTTTCTGGCCAGCCGTAACGAAAGAATATCTCCGAGAGATGGTTTTCGCATATTGGCAACTATTGAGTCAAGCGAGCAGGCTTCCCCCGTCACAAATTCTCGCCAGTCGTGGCTACTCAACCCCCGACTCTGGCGCACTGTCCAAGCGGCCGGCTACTCGCCTGAAGAGGTCGAGGCCTTGCTTCATTCTCGATATCCTAATGCTAGTGTTTTCATTCCGACTATTCTCCACATTCACGGAAATCTTCTTCGTCTATACAAAGACAACTCTGCTCTGAAAAGACTCCAGACACGCATGCCCTCTTTAAGAGACCTGCTCAAGTTGTTGAGAAGGATGGTTCGCAGACTGGAGCGTCATGGCGCCGTTTCAAAATCGGACCCTCTGCCCGAGCAAGCAAAATTTGACATATTCAAGGATGCTGTTGATTGCTATGCAGGCTACCTCGACAGCGCGGAGCTCCATGAGCTGATGGCCGAGAGTATTGCTGCCGAACTGAACGTATCGCCCCAGCAGATGCGGCATGTTCTGTATGAAACCTTTCCAACTGCTTCTGAGGACAAGGATGTGGTGCAGGTTGGACGAAGCCGCCTGAAAAAAGTCGCCACTCGCCGTCGACAGACCAAGACAGCGCCTTTTGCATTCACCATTTCGGCCGGCAGGACGCTGGATCGGATCGCAGTGTGCGCGGATTGCTCTGAACCGTGCCTCCTGGTTGGTGAAACTGGCGTCGGAAAGACAACTCTGGTGCAATATGTTGCAAACTTGGTAGGCCAGACACTTACTGTGATCAATCTTTCACAACAAAGCGAAGCTGGTGACCTGATTGGGGGACTGAAGCCTGTAACAGTCCGATCTCTGGTCCTCCCGATTGTTGAAAGGTTTAACACCTTGTTCGATGATACTTTCTCTGCGAAGAGAAACGAGAAATTCCAGACAGCCCTCGCGAGGGCATTTGCGAAACAGAACTGGACGAGACTGCTGATTCTGTGGAATGAAGCTATTCAAATGGCGGCAAACTCTCTCAGCACTGCAGAACATGCCCAAACTAATGGATCTGTCCATGCCAATAAGAAGCGCAGACTAGACACACCGAGATACGAAGTCTTGCGCACGAGGTGGGTTGAATTTGCTGAAAGTGTGAAGCAGGTTCGTGCCTTTGTGGACCACAGTGACAAGACGCATACTTTTGCCTTCGTCGAGGGCAGATTGGTGCAAGCAGTCCGTGAAGGTGGGTGGGTGCTTTTGGACGAAGTCAATCTGGCACCCTCAGACACTCTGGATCATATCGTCAGTCTACTACATAACGGGGATGAAGAGAAGCCGTCATTACTTCTCACCGAGGCAGGTAACATCGAGACCATTATTGCTCATCCAGACTTTCGAGTTTTTGCTGCGATGAATCCTGCAACCGATGCAGGAAAGAAAGACCTCCCACCTGCCCTGAGATCACGATTCACCGAGATATATGTCCCCTCTGGTGACGGCAGTCTAGAGGACTTGGTGAAGATCATTCAAACCTATCTGGGATCCCTGCTTGATAATGACAAACGAGCTGCCCTTGATCTGGCGAACTCGTACCTCGAGCTGAAGAAGCTCAATGAAGCCCATCAGCTTACCGATGGGGCAGGCGACACACCGCATTTCAGCATTCGATCTCTCGTTCGGTGTTTGTTATATGTCTTGCAACACAGCGCAAGCCACGGGCTTAGACGTGCCATGTACGAGGGATTCTCGATGAGCTTTTTCACAGTCCTGAGCAGAGCAGCCGAAAATCTAGCCCTGGCCTCGCTTGAAAAGCACCTTTTCTCCGGTATCAAGAACCGCAAAGCATTCTTCAGCCAACAGCCCAAGATGCCGCAGAACGGAGAGGACTACATTGCATTCAGGCATCACCTCGTCAAGAAAGGCCCTGCAGCTCCAGACTTCCAACCACATTATATCAGAACACCCTCCGTTGAGCGCAATTTACTCAATCTGGCTCGCGCCACCTCCATGCGGCGCTTTCCTATTCTTCTACAAGGTCCGACATCGGCTGGGAAGACGAGCATGGTGGAGCATCTCGCAAAGTTGTCAGGGAACAAGTTCGTCAGGATCAACAATCATGAGCACACAGACCTTCAAGAGTATCTGGGCAGCTATATGTCAGACACCGACGGCAAACTCGTATTCCAAGAAGGTGTCTTGGTGAACGCGCTGCGTCTTGGACACTGGATTGTGCTCGACGAATTGAACCTGGCTCCAAGTGATGTGCTCGAAGCTCTGAATCGCTTGCTCGACGATAACAGGGAGCTACTCATTCCAGAGTCTCAGGAAATCGTGCGTCCACATCCCAACTTCATGCTCTTCGCCACGCAGAATCCGGCTGGCTTGTATGGAGGACGCAAGCGGCTGTCACGGGCCTTTAGAAACCGCTTCCTCGAAATCCACTTTGACGATATTCCAGAGGATGAATTGGAGATAATACTGCGAGAACGAACCCAGATTGCTCCGTCGTTCTGCACCAAGATTGTCGCTGTTTACAAGAAGCTGTCTCTTCTCAGACAATCCTCCAGATTGTTCGAGCAGCGAAACAGCTTTGCCACACTGCGAGACTTGTTTCGATGGGCTTCGAGACCTGTGGATGACTGGCAGCAATTGGCACATCACGGCTTCATGCTCTTGGCTGAACGAGTAAGGGAACCTGCAGAGCGCGCTGTGGTCAAGAAGATTCTCGAGGAAACTATCAAAATTGTCATTGACGAAAGCGTTCTGTATGGCGTTCCGCGGATTCCGAACACCGTTCAGCACCATGATTCGATTGTGTGGACTCCAGCGATGAGACGAGTCTTTGTTCTTGTGTCTGAGGCATTGAAGAATCACGAACCGGTTCTCTTGGTCGGCGAAACTGGATGTGGAAAGACTCAAATCTGTCAAGTGATTGCCGAAGCGTCTGGTACGCCGCTCGACATCTACAACGCACATACGAATACTGAAACCGGTGATCTTATTGGTTCTCAGCGACCAATTCGTAACCGTTCCGAGCTTGCCAACCATGTACGGGCAAGTTGGAAGGACTTGGTCTACTCCAGACCTGATGGCACTTTGGCTGACAACCTGGACCTTGACGAGATCGTGGAGGCGTTTAAGGGATTGGATAAATCGAGTTATGATCCCAAGCTCGTCGAGCATCTCAGGGCTAGCATCGGGGCATACGAAGCTTTGTTTACTTGGAACGACGGAAGCCTCGTTCGGGCGATGAAAAAGGGTGAATATTTCTTGCTCGATGAGATTTCGCTGGCCGAAGACTCTGTTCTTGAGCGCCTGAACAGTGTCCTGGAGCCTTCCCGGACAATCTTGCTCGCGGAAAAGGGCTCTGCTGACAATCTCGTTGTCGCGCACCCAAGATTTCAATTTCTCGCCACAATGAATCCAGGCGGGGACTACGGGAAGAGAGAGCTGTCGGCGGCACTACGAAATCGACTGACCGAGATCTGGGTACCTCCTTTGTCTGAAGAAGCAGACCTCCTACCTATCATCGAGAACAAACTAAGGACAGGGAAAATGGACCTGGCCAAGAAGATGCTCCAGTTTGCCGCCTGGTTTCGTACCGAGTTCCATAATGCGGCGTCCAAGAGTATCGCATTGCGAGATCTGTTGGCCTGGGCAGACTTTATCAATCGGGCTGAGTCACTGGGCGAAGAGTCGGCTTTCGTGCACGGGGCTTTCATGGTCTATATTGATTCCATTGGGGCGAATCCAGCTGGGATGACCTCCATGGGTACTGGAGACTTGAATTGGTCAAGGCAAAAGTGTCTCAATCACTTACAAACTCTGGTGAGTATCGATGTGGTTGAGAGCTATGAACAAATTCCCCAACTTTCGTCTACAGCTGAACACCTACTTGTTGGCCAATTCTCTCTTCCTCGAATCAAGAATTCGCAGCTGCAGACAACCGATCTCGTCTTCAACGCTCCGACTACCGCCAAAAATACCATGAGGATCATTCGCGCTTTACAAATGCCCAGGCCCATCCTCTTGGAAGGTAGTCCTGGCGTGGGCAAGACGGCAATAGTGACAGCGCTTGCCCAAGCTTGTGGGAGGGAGTTTACTCGAATCAACCTGTCCGACCAGACAGACCTTATGGATTTGTTCGGCGCAGATGCTCCCTCCGAGAACGAGGGAGTAGGGAAGTTTTCATGGCAAGACGGACCTCTCCTCAAGGCCATGCAGTCCGGTGGATGGGTCTTGCTCGATGAAATGAACCTGGCATCTCAATCCGTTCTGGAAGGACTGAATGCCTGTCTGGATCACCGTCGAGAAGTATATATTGCGGAGCTGGACAAGTCTTTCATCTGTCATCCGGATTTCACCCTGTTTGCTGCGCAAAATCCTCATCATCAAGGTGGAGGTCGGAAAGGACTTCCGGCTTCCTTTGTCAATCGATTCACCGTCGTCTACGCGGACTCTTTCCAGCGCGCGGATTTGGTTCGCATTTGCGAGTCCAGGTTTCCACAGGTCGATAGCGAAGAACTCGAGAGTGTGATTAACGTGGCCTCACAGCTGGAGCAGGCCATTGCTCGAAACCCAGCTTTTGCGCATGGAGGGCCTTGGGAATTGAACCTCCGTGACGTGAATCGGTGGCTTCAACTATGCAAAGAGCAGCCGATGATTCCCTCGTCCTATCACCTCCGTACTATCGTGACAGAACGTTTTCGCACGCCTGTCCAAAGAGACCTCGTCCTCAAGGAAGCTGGATCAGGCTACACTTCCACAACACCTGAGAGCTATTACCACAACATGACTGAAACTCTTATTCAAGTTGGCAATGCCTTTCTACCCAGGGATCCCGTTTTGCAGAGCACTGAAGCGCCAAACACAGCTCCGTCGGCACGCCAACTTCCCGCCTCAAATTCTATCGTGACCGCTGTTAAACAGAACTGGCCGATCATCGTGGCCGGTCCCTCTGGCTCTGGAAAGACAACTCTAATTCGTTATCTCGCAGCTGCAGCGGGAGTCGAGCTCATCGAGTTCTCAATGAACTCGGACGTGGACACGATAGACCTTGTTGGTGGTTTCGACCAGTACGACCTCCGCCGTGACATCAGCAGGTTCCAGACCAAAGTACGAGAAGCGCTCCGAGAACGAATCGCGGCGTCCCTGGGGAATCAAGCTGATGAGGAAGGCCAATCTCAACTGCTGAGCCTATGGCGATTCTTCGAAGGCGATGACATAGAGGTCCCTGAACTTCGGGCAGCGATATTAGATTTGGCGTCTGTATTGCCGGAACTTCGAACACAAGTCGAAATGATATCAAGGATCCTCAATTCAAGTGATCATCAAAGCTTGCGGTTCGTATGGAATGATGGCGTGCTCGTCGATGCTGTCGAGAAGGGTTCGTGGCTGTTGCTCGAAAATGCCAATTTGTGCAACCCATCCGTTCTGGACAGGCTGAATTCATTGCTCGAACCAGGTGGATCGCTGGCCATTAGCGAGCAACACAGTGGGAGCACCGGTACGAGGATCATTGAGCCGCATCCGAATTTCAGGATATTTCTGACAATGGACCCACGCTACGGAGAGCTTTCGAGGGCGATGAGGAATCGATCGCTCGAGGTCTTTATGCCTGATATACATGAGAGCCATGATGTTGCTGCTGTCCAGTACCCGGTAGCTTCTGCCCTCACCCGCTTGCGATATTTGTCGGAAGTTTCTGGTCAAATTCGACAAGATCACAGTGTCGAAGCCGCGGTTGACAATCTTGATCAAGCAGACATGATGTTGGTCTCAGACGGGAATTGCCCCATACCTGCTTCTGATCCTGACCATTTACTGCAACAAGAGATCCAAAAGAGAAGTCTACTCGAGGTGGAAAGCGTGTATCAAACCTTTGCTTCTCTGGGTCTTTCTACAGACCACCGATTTCCGCAAATGATTGTGCTCAACGAGCCACTGGTCTTACTTGAAGCAATTTCCAGGGATGTGCTCTCAAAGTCTTCGTTCACAGAGCTGTTTACCAGGTACTGGTATATCACACGGCAGTTGGCAGAAATCAGTTCGATCATGTCGAACGCATCAAGTAGAGCAAAAACTCTCGCTGTCAAAGACCAAACCATCCTCGAGCGATCAACCTCTGTCTCAAAGAGAGAAGCAGTTGGGACAGTGCCCAAAATTGCGGCATTTGGCAGGCTTGTGATTTCATCAATGTCAGAAGTCATTCGCAGAGAGATCCAGATGATGAGCAATTTGGACATGCCAGAAGTAATCGCACAGATCCTCACTTTTGCCCAAGAGCTCATACTCCTTTGGAACACAAAAACGAGCGATATGGCTGCTTTCCAGGCATATCTACAAATCGGAGGTGACTTGATGCACCGCGTTCAGCAAGAGTCTCCGGAGATCTCCTCTCAGTTCTCGTCCTGTTTGCAGGCTTTAGGGGACCACAATCCAAGACCGAAGACTGGATTCGGACTGCAGCTCATGTGGCCAATATTCCGCCCAAAGACAGCAAGCACTTGGTCACAACTCAACTGTCAGATTCAACTGGAAGAGCTCATCGGGAGATTCGATCTCGCCTGTCGCTCATTGTCACAACCTCGAAGCTCACTCTCGGGTCTGAGGCGCAGACTGCAAGATGCGTATGTGTCCGTTATCGGGTCAGAACAATCAGAAACCCTAATGCTGGATCTTCAAGAAATTGTGTCAAGGCTGCAGGAGCAATCTGCGAAGGGATTTCTTCTTGAAGGAAAATTTGAGAACGTCATCAGATTCATATACCAGGCAGTACAGTCGCAGAAGCGCATTACGGACGAGACATACCTGGGAAACCTAGCCATGTTCATACACCAGTCCGAGAGACCGTCACTTGCTCTTGGGCCCGAGATTTCTGTGCCCACTTCACTGGCTCGCCTTGCCTCCCTAAATGCTGATATTCTGGTGGACGATGGCTCGATTGGATTGCAATTGAGTGCTCAGCTTGCCTCAGCCCAACAACAGCCTCTCGGCACCCTAAGCCATGCGAAAGAAGAACTACGAACCCTGACGAAAGCGCTGGCAACCCACACATCTTTACTTGGCAACCTCGTCTCTCCGTTGAAGGACGACCTCCTCTCAGTTCTGGAAGGCCTGATGTCTTCCTTCCATGCTCTTTTGACGCCGGAGGGAAGGTCATGCTTTCCCGAACGAGGTACAGCAGACATATCTCAGCTAGCCACCATGTCAAGCAACGATATCTTTTTGAAGGGGGCCAACGGCGAGATTCTCAGCCAAGTGTACGACAGACTGATTCTCCCTGTCGTGCTGCAATTACAGGTCGGAGATGAATCTGGTCCTCAGCAGCTCAAAACATGTCTTGTTACCTTGTCCCTCGCTGGCCTCATCCTCATGGTACCAGATAGGGCCTTGGACCCTGCAACATACCCGAAGATCGTGTATCATCTCCATGAACGCCGACAGGGCGAGCTGGTTTCCCGAATCGAGGGGCAAAGGCAATTCCACCGGCAAATGATGGGAACGGACACAGCTCTTGTTATCCGGATCCTGCAACAAGAGCTCCTCAAGTTGGGTACCGTCTCCCCACCCCAAGCGGTGGTAAGGCCAGGCAACGACGAACTCTTCAAGCTCCAGGAGGTCTTTACGAGAATTGTCGCTGTCGTTTTGGACTACCAGGGTACTCAGGGACTGCGACCGGGCAGTGCGGAATGGATCGAGCAATGGTCTAGCCAACAAGGAATGTCAAATCTGAGGACCATCATTGAACGACTCGAGAGCTCCCATCGAGCGTTCGACGACTTTACGAAGCCGATTCTATGGTTCTTGAAATGCCTGTATCTTGCTTTGGAGCTTGAGATTGGGGAGAGAAGCCGAACCAGCAAACCGGTAGCTCTTCACGAACTTATCGTCAGTACTCCTCTATTGGGTGATAACCCTGCTACTGTTCAACATTGGAAACCCCGTCATGCTGCATCTCCAGCAGTGAAACTTCACTGGCTGGATTATATCGGAGTGAGAACTGCTCTAACAACAAAGGAAGATGGTCTCCTCACCGAGGAGTTCCTCAGGGTCATCGACAGCTATTACTTCGAATGGAAAACTCGCCTGACTCAAGACCAAGCCGACGCTGCAACGAGGTCTCGCTACTACACTTACCGAGGGGACACCTTTGACGACGAGGCAGGCGAAAGTCGCGAAATGAGGGAGATGTTTCCACAATTTGAAGACGGAGATGACGACGTGGCCGCTGAGGCGCATCAACAAGAATTCAACGCTCGTGCTACGGCGACACAACTCAGTACGCTCCATCAGAAGATCTACACCAGACGAAACCCGCAGGAAGCCGTCGAAGCATTCATTCTGTCTACCTTGGAGCTCATGCCCAAGATCCCTGGGGCCGGCGGGGCCACCGAACATTCGTTTCTCGACCTTCTACCAGCCGTCTTTCTGCAGCTGCAAGCAAAAATGGACGAGTTCGCTGGCGACAACAGTGCCCGCGCCTTCAACATATATACCGACTCGGACGTCAAGCAAAGCCAGAAGCTGCTGGATATGGTGCACGACATTCAATCAAGGTTCTACACGATCCAGGAGAAATGGCCTGAACACGCAGTCCCTGCCGAGGTCCTGTCATTTTGTAACGAAGTCCTCCGTCTGAGCTTCGGTGATCCCATCGCCAAACTTCTAACCAAGACAGAGAAGCTGTACGAGATCGTGTCGCAATGGCAAAGTATTGCTAGCAGGGAGTGGTCGGTTAGCACACTTGTCGAGCAGCTATCGTCACTGATCATTAGCTGGAGACGTCTGGAGCTCCTGTCTTGGTCAAGGCTACTGGATGAAGAGAGGCGTAAACACGAAGAAGACGCCCAAGCCTGGTACTTCATCGCCTATGAGGCTGTCATCCACAACTCCAGAAACCTGGACACCGAGGATGGAGGTTTTGTTTCTTATCAACGACATCTGGTCGTAACCCTGCAGGAGTTTCTCGGATCTGCGACGTTGGGTCAATATTCGGCCCGCTTGCGGCTGCTCGACACGCTCAATAAGACCTTGCAGTGCATGGCAGGCACCCATCAGCACCTCCAAGCGATCACTGCCTGCGTACAAAATGTCATTGATCATTATCGTCGGTATGAGGGTGGTGTCGAGGATATGTTGCACAAAGGTCGTGCTGGACTCGAGAAGGCTTTGAGCGAGCAGATCAAACTGGCAAGCTGGAAGGATACGAACGTCACAGCTCTCCGTGAAAGTGCACGTCGATCGCACCACAAGTTGTTCAAGATCGTGCGCAAGTATCGTGCGCTCCTCAACCAGGGTGTTGTATGTTCCGCGCCTGAAGACTCGAAGCAAGGTTCCCCAACAAGCGGCGTGGCAGATCTTCTCGCGCCTCGCTACGACCATGAGCTAGTCGCAGATGCACTGGGACGATGTCGTCTGCTGATCGATGATTGGACTTCACGACCTGAACGTCTTACGCAGCCGCTCGGCGCAGTGAGAAGCATGCAGCATGTGTACAAGTCAAAGGAATCTGGATTCCAAGCGCACATGGAGATCGCCTCCTTCCGAGAAGACTTGCTTGAAGCGTCAAAGCAGTTGAGGACGCAGACTCCATCAGCATTGACAGAGGACAACGCTTCGTTTGTCCGCCACCTCCAAGAGGGGAAGAGAAGACTGCTCGCCGATACTCTGAAAGCAGTTGCGCACATGGGAATCAGACGAAATCTCCCGACCTCTGAGCTTGAGCGGCAATCGTCGTGTGCCACGATCCTCGCGTTGGTGGCAGGTTCACCAGTGAGTCCACATGGGTCAGCCGAATCCGATGCTAACGCTTCGTTCCACCAATTGCTCGATGTCATGCCTGAAGTTCGCGCAGCTCGGACGGATCATTCCGACGACCTCACCGAAGGCGAAATCAACCGCTCTGTTGGCCTTTTGGAAGGCTTGCTGTCCCTAACAATCCGTCAGCGGCAAGTCAGTCCACAGCAAGTTTCCGACACTGAGGGATTGAGCTCTCTACTGTCGATGCTCAGATCCGTGGTGTCATCTTCGTCTGGCCAGATTCTGCGATCTACCGCTTCCGCTCACAATATCGACTTTGTGCTAGAACGCCTCGCGTGGCTCGCAGAGATCTTGAATATTGCCCGTCGCATCTTGACGTTCCAGGCAGAACAAGGAGAGTTCGACATCAAAGGCTGCTTGGACTCACTCAGCTCTTACACTACTCAGATCAAAGACTTGAGACTCGGTCTTCTTGGTTTGCCTGCAGCACCCGTGGGGATGGCGTGGGAGACGTCACAGGCATTGATGGAAAAGTTTCGCGACCTCGTTTGTCAACTCAGGTCTTTCCTCGTGGAATGGCAGGTCAGCAAGCCTCGTATCGAGTACCTCATGCGCAAGATCGTTCCCTGGACAGAGACAATTCCGCAACCGACGACGAATGGAACACAACTTTCTCTGGCGCATTTCTCTGTTCGAGAGCTGGACCAGAACCTAAAGGACGTGGTAGATCAGGTTTTCGTGGCAATGCAACGCCTGTCTTCCCTGCCATTGGAGATGCCCAGCTCGGAGGAAGACCAGGGATGGCTCTCGAACTCGGACAAGCACATCGTCGAAGCACTGCGCGTGCTGCAGCTGAGCACTATCAGCAACCGCCTCGAGGTATCAGTGATGCACAAACTTCAGCTCCTGGCGCCCGAGGACTTTGAAGCCGCCAAGAACTTGTTACTCGTGGCAATGCCAGTCTTGGACCAGTATTACTACATATGCGAGCATCTCCATCAGCGGCATGTTGCGCTGTACCTGGAGACGTCCCGCCTTGCCTTGCAGCTGGCCAGGTCTTTCACGTCGATGGCAAAACAAGGGTTCTGTCGTCCCTCGGAGCCTGCAGATGGTGAGGAGCAGACAGGCAAACTAGAGTCCGGGACCGGGTTAGGGGAAGGAGAAGGCGCCGAGGATATCAGCAAGGATGTCCAAGATGATGAAGACCTGTCTGAGCTTGCACGCGAAGGGCAGAAGGAAGAGAGAGACGGAGAAATAGAAAAGACAGAAGATGCGGTTGACATGGACAATGAGGACCTTGAAGGTGAAACGGGTGACTCTGATGAGAAACACTCGGACCGAGGTGATGACCAGGACCAGTCAGGTGACGAGGAGCAAAACGATATCGACGAAGAGACCGGCACTGTTGACGACCTTGACCCCAACGCTGTGGATGAGAAACTCTGGGACGACCTCAAGAACGAGTCGGAGAAAGAGAGGGAGATGAAGAATGACAAAGCCAAGGGGCAAAAATCAGATGATCAGACTGCAGGAGATGGGAACCGGGACGAAGGAGACGACGTGGAAGATATGGAGGGGCTAGAGGAGGAGATCGACCAAGACGGCGAAGACCAAGATGAGGGAGGAGACCATCCTGAAGGCCAACAAATGGACGAACACGTCGAGGAAGAGAAGGCTCTGGACCTTCCGGAGGAACTGCAGTTGGCCGGTGACGAGGAGATCAAGGACGATGATATTTCAGATGATGGCTTGGAAGAGTTGTCGGATATAGACAACCCGAAGGAGGAAGTCGACGGCGATGGTTTGGAAGACGCTCAGGAGACTGAACAGCAGGAGGATCGGTTCGGTAAAGACACCGACGAGAATGAAACCGACAAAGGAGAAGAACAGACCGAGAATGGGGTGGCTCAAGACGATGAGATTATGGAGGACCAGCCCGAAGCAGAGGGAGACGAAGAGGAGGGCGATCGTGACACTCGAGAAGACGACACGGCTCACGATGTGGAGGAAACCGCTGGTGGAGAGTCCGGAGCGGCAAACGAGGTCCAGGAGAACGTCGATGCCGAACAGAACGTCGAGGGTATGAATCAGGCTGACACGGAGCCAAACCCACAACAATCTCAGCCCGGCAAGGCGACGGAAGATGAAGAACAAGGAAAGACCGGCACGGGAGCCTTTGAGCGCGGCGCCGGACGGGCAGAAGATCTCGAGTATCAGCAGAACCAATCCTTGAAGCAGTTGGCGGATGTGCTCGACCGATGGCATCAGCGTCGCGAAATCCTGCCAGTATCGGAAGAGCAAGAACGGGCAAACGACCAAGGAGATGTGGACATGGCAGATGTGGATTTCGAGCATGTGCGGGACGAAGATGAGGGCGACGCACAGGCCCTTGGTGCCGCAGCAACAGATCAGGCTCAAAATCTCGACCCCAGCAAAGCCATAGAAGACGAAGACGCGCCCATGGACGAGGATACAGCCCTTCCGGACGTTTTGGAACCGGAGGTGCAGGAAGATATCGCGGAGAGATTCAGCCGTCTCAAGGCCCAGGCCAACCCAACCGGAGAAGCGCGAGATGGAGGTGCTTTCGTGCCTGACCATCAGCCCCAGTCGGGGGAATATGACGGACAGCCAGATTCTGGCGACACAGCATCTGAAGATTCATCGCCTGACATTGAACACCTCGAGCTCCGCGACGGCGACCAAGCACAACCGGCTCCCCTTCCAACAAGCAGCTCCAACGCCGCGCAGCTTTGGCAGCAGTGTTCGGCCAGCACGCACCAATTCTCACTCGTGCTCACGGAGCAACTCCGCCTCATCTTGTCACCTACGACGGCCACGAAGCTTCGCGGCGACTATCGCACCGGGAAGCGGCTCAACATCCGCCGCATCATCCCTTACATCGCGTCCAACTACAAGCGGGACAAGATCTGGATGCGGCGCTCGGTGCCCAGCAAGCGCAACTACCAGATCATGGTGGCCGTGGACGACAGCAAGTCCATGAGCGAGTCTGGGGCCGACGTCCTCGCGTTCGAGACGCTGGCGCTCCTCACAAAGTCCCTGGCCATGCTCGAGGTCGGGGAGATTTGCGTGGTCGGATTCGGCGACGCCCCAGCCATCACGGTCGCGCACCCCTTTGGCCAGCCCTTCTCGCCGGCCGAGTCGGGCCCCCAGGTCTTTCGCTCGTTCAGCTTCGAGCAGCGCGGCACGGACGTCAAGGGCCTGCTCAGACAGAGCATCCGTCTATTCCGCGACGCGAGGACTCAACGGCCAGCGGGCAGCAGTGGACAAGAGCAGTGGCAGCTCCAACTGATCGTCAGCGACGGGCACTGTTCCGACCACGCCGGGATTGCGAGATTGGTCCGCCAAGCGCGCGACGAGGAGCGCATCGTGATTGTCTTTGTCATTGTCGACGCCGGCGACGAAAGTATCCTCGATCTCAAGGAAGCGGTGTTTGAGCCCGATCCCAGCCACGACGTGTTGGGTGGTGGTGCTCGCGGTGGTGCCGGCACTTCTTCAGGCCAAGGAATCGGCGAAATGCGAGTCCGCACAAAGAGATACCTCGACGGGTTTCCTTTTCCGTACTATCTCGTCGTCAGGGACGTCAGGGACTTGCCGGGTGTGTTGGCGACAGCGCTCAAGGGGTGGTTTGGGAGTGTCGTCGACGTGCAGGGGTGATGTTTGGCATGACCTGACCTGACCTGACCGCACTCACTGACGGCACTGAATGACTTACCTTGGTCACATAGGCATGTACCATGTAGAAGATCTATCTGGTGCTTAGTGTGGTGTCGGAAATAATTATCCAAAAGAAATACGTCTGAATAAGGTAGGCGGTAAAAGGAGCGAGAGGAGAGTCATGGGAAGGAGGGGCGCAGGTAATAATAATAGGAGGTAGATAGGGTAGATGGACAGATCGGTTCGTGGGTTGCTGGATTGGGCAATTGAGTATTCATAACCTCCTTAGGAGACACCTACCTATGCATCTAGGTAAAAAGTGAAGAGTGAATGAATTGGAAAGTACGAAATGGGCGGTGGTGACATGGCCTGACTATTACATATTAGATGGCGACGGGGCGGGTAGGTACGTAGTAAGTGACTAGAGCCACGGTAAATAGTAGTAACAACAACAACAACACCACGAGTAGTAACGCGACTTCGAGTAAGCAACTAAGTGACAGCAAGCAAGGGACTCTGATTTCTTCATACTCTTCAACATCACCCCTTAAAAAAAAACAGGTGAGGCATGCATGTTCTCCATACACATCAAGCAGAAAACCAAAACACCATACGAGGTACACAACAACTTCGTACACTTCTACTCTGGCCGTCACCTGGACCAGATCCTCTCGTCTCGTCTCGTTGAGACACGACTCGCGGACCCGGAGGTATCTGCTGTGTGCTACCAAGATGGATGATGCTTCAGACGACAACGACAACGACAACGGTGTCGCTGGCAGTAGTGGTTCTCCCACCCGAGTGACACAATCCGGTTTATATGACTGCGCAGGCCAAGTTCAATCGCCACGCCAACATTCTCGCTTCTACGCTGTAGTCGTTCCCAAGAGCAGAGACCAGAGCCTCGTCCAGCATGCTCGAGAAGCTCTGCTGCTGATGGGCTGTGACTGGAAATCTCAGGTATGTGTGCGGTTTGCAACCACCCCATAGCTCTTTTTTTTCCCGTTAGCATCGTGCATCTGACACAGTTTGCGCAATACTGCAGAACCAATCTGTTTCAGAGGTTATTTCCGCACCGGGGATCAGTCGGGGACCAACGCAGCACACTGGACACTCTGGCTCAGAACGTCTTCCAGAATACAACAGAGATGAAGAGCACTGTGAAAATGACAAACAAGGGAACATCAATCATCTCCACGTGAGCGGCAGCAGCCCACGCCTCGGTGGTGGTGGTCAACGTACGCGCGGCGGCCCTCAGGCGACGAGACAACAGACTGGCGAACGCTGCCAGCGTTGCATCCTCCAACGAAAAAGATGCGACGCCGTGAAGCCTGTCTGTGGCAACTGTGCGCAGAGGAAGCGCGACCCGGATTGTCAATGGCCAGGGCCCGTGACACGAAGTCAACTGCTGGCAGCGAGGCATCCGAATCCAACACCTCCATTGGCTTGACGAGAGCGGCGAGATCAGTCACCGCAAAATCGTAAGTCAGTGCAATAGCCTGGCCAGCCAGCAGAAGTCATTGTCAATGGCTCCAGGCATGGCAGAAAACTTCACAAGCCGAATTGTCTAAATGCAAACCCACTGCGCAGTACCTCCAAGATATGGTCGAGTCATGATCAACGTCAAGAACAGACAGACACACAACCATAGCACCTTGCTTACCCAGTGTCCACGGAACCCCTTCCCGCCTCGCAATGCATTGGGTCTCAAAAGGCGTGCCGCCGCTTGAGCCAGACAGGGAGTACTCTTTTGATCGAAGAGGTAACGCCACCCACTGAAACAGAGCACGAGTGACCGTTACCGTGCATCACCACCAACCACTTAGGAGCCAACAGGAACAAGCGATTAGTCGACACCGGTCTGAGCCAGTCTCGAAAGGCGAGGACACATCCACCTCGATCAGAGCAACCAACCTTGCGCACTGCTGCAAATCATGTTGTACGTGGGCAAGATGAAACCCATCGGTTAGAACCGTCTAGCAATCTAGCAAGCGACCCATTCTGGCACAGTGTGCACGCGACTCGCAGACTTCCACAGGCGGAAAAGCGTGGTGATGGTAACCAGAATCGATACAATCCTACTCGGAGCGGACCTCGGATGAGACTGTTGAACAGCAGGAACGTGTGGGATCCACTATGGTGATATCGACAGTGAACAGGACGATAGCATCATGGACCAATTGTGAGATGAAAGCACAATGTCGAACATTGAATTTTGGACTGTTCTTTCCACCATGAATTCTTGACCCCTTAACCCACACAACTGGTTCGCTTAGGAGTTTCTTTGCCGCCCGTGATTCGAAGCAGGGGAGATTACTGGCGGACCTTGAAGAGGATGTTCTTTAGTTTTTTTCATTCCGGATATGATCATTTTATCGCCCTCGGTCGCAAGGATGGATAGCAGAACATCGATGCTGTCGTAAAAGACCTGTGGTTAAAAGCACCTACGGAGTTGCTGAAACGTGGATCGTCTCCATCTCCAATATACATAATATTACCATCCGTACTTGCTTCCAGCTTCCTTCTTATTCCTTCTGCCACTCGCAAAGCTCTCTTCAAGTGCCTCTTTCTGCCCAGTAGCCGCATTCACCAGCTGCTTCAGGCTATGCTTGCCTGGAGCGATGGCTCGAACGGGATTGTGCTGCACTTGCTCGCCGCTTGCACGCAGTGCTTCGTTCGCCGCATATTCTTGATCCGTATTGAAGTTGACTACGTTGATGGCCGTACCGCCTGATTGGCCGCGGCGACCAAAAAGCTGTCGCCGGTCTGCTTTGGAGAGATTCAAATCGGAAGCGATAGAATCGAGGGACTGAGGCTGGTAGTGCGCTGGTTCATCGACAGGACCTTCTGTTGCTGAGGGTAATGTCACGTCAGGAGCATCATCCAGAAACTCGACGATTTCGTCCTCCTCAGACGTATCTCGAGGCAGTTGCACCGTCGGTGCCTCTTCACCCATCGAGAAGAGACTGACTTTCTTCGACGGAGGGGCAGGCTCAGTCACCTGGACCGTTGTAGATGATGTATCCCCCAGCCCAGATTGTGTGGGCACGTCCTGCCCTTGCGTGATGGCTGATTTCGGACCGTTGGCTTTTCGTTTCGGCTTCTTGTTATTCCTTGCCACGGAGAGGGGTTTGAACATGAAGGGGTTTCCTTGTATTGCTGGTTGCTTCGGTCCGTTTGTGGCGGGTTCTGTTCGTTTTGGGACTGAACGTATGGTCTCGTCGGCGTCAGGGTCTGTAGTATGCCGTTGCTGCTCTTGTTCTGCGAATAGACTGCGTAGCTCTTCATCTGCCTCTCTGCTAAAGCCAGGCTCGGCGCCAGTCTTCAGGCTAAAGACCTTCCTTGTAGCAGCCTTCGGAGGGGCTTTTGCATCGGCATCTCGTTTGGGCGCAGGCAGCATTGAGTTGAAGCCACTGAATGTTCCACCGCCGCCACCAATTCGAGGCCGCTTCGGAGCAGGCTCTCCATCCGAGCTGCCGTTTACGGGGGTATCTTGTAGCTTGACTTGGATCTTTCTAGGGTTTGCTTTGTTGATGGTAAAGGTAGCGTTCGGGTTGGTCGCAGTCTTCGTCGAGGGTTTGTCAGATTTAGGTTGCGATGAGACCTTTTCGTCGTCCGAGCTCTCGGAATCCGAGTATGCGACCAGCGCCATTGTGATATCTTTGGGATGTCTTAGAGGGTAACAAGTCCAGCCTGGCTGAAGAGGCGAGAAAGGCCAGAAGATGTCGAGGCTCGCATAGAGATCACATGATTTCACCATTTATTTCCCTGCGTCATTTCAACTTCTGCCTTTGCTCTGCCTTTCCTCGAAGAGCTTCATGATACTGGAATTTTGATCTTTGGACATCGACCAGAATCGTACTTTGCCTGTCACGGGTGGCGAGGGCTATCTCACTGCGCAACAGCTGGAAACCTTCGGGTCAGGAGATCACTGAGAACAAGCTGCGAGACGCCTCTGCCCTCCCATGTTCACCTTCCGGGCATTCCAGCGAGGTGCCAGCCAAGCCGCTCGCCAACGCTTTCCATCAAGCTCCCAAACTGCTCCCAATTTCAAACAAGCGCCTCGCTTTCAGCCACGGCGATATGCCTCTTGGGGTCCGAGGTCACGTTACAGGCGATTTGACGATGGAACCGGGTATGGACAGGGACAACAGCGAAAGGGCCAGCAGTGGAGCAACTTTGGTCCCGTCTATCGTATGCAGTACCTTTGGCGGAATTACCAGACGCCACTGACTGTGGTTGGTGTGGGCGGCGGAGCATTCTATGTCTACAACCTCGAAGAGGTCCCCGTCACTCACCGACGACGCTTCAATATGCTGTCTCCCACGTCAGAGAAGGAATTCTTTGGTTCTGCTGAAATGTACAAATCTGTACTAAAAGAATTCCAAGGCAGAATTCTTCCAGCCGACCACCCTCTGACTATGCAGGTCGCCAAAGTTGTCGAAAGGCTGCTTCCAACCACCCGCGGTCTGGCAGGTGATGACTGGCGGGTGCATGTCATCAATGAACCTCGGGAGAAGAACGCTTTTGTGATGCCCGGCGGCAAAGTTTTTGTCTTCTCAGGCATTCTACCTATTTGCCAGAGCGAGACTGGTCTTGCCGCCGTCTTGGGCCATGAGATCGCTCACAATGTCGCTCATCACGCCGCCGAGAGGGCATCAAGGTCCAGCATCATCCTTCTTGCTGCCTGGGCCGTGTCTCTCGTGTTTGATATCAGCGGCCAATCTGGGAGGGCTATCGCTGACCTACTGTTATCTCTTCCGAACTCAAGGACGCAAGAAGCGGAAGCAGACCGGATTGGCCTTCTGATGATGGCCGAGGCTTGCTACGACCCCCGAGGAGCTTTGGACTTCTGGCAACGCATGAAGCAGGCATCGGAACTGGAACCTCCACAGTTCTTATCAACGCATCCGAGCCACACCAGCCGTGCAGAGCAGATCAAGAAGTGGCTCCCAGACGCCGAGAGAGTCTATGCTGATACAGGATGCGGTACTGCAAGTGGATTCGAGGACGCGTTCAAGCAAGCTCTTACGTTCCAACGGCCCGGAAGGGAGGGCCAAGTTAGACAGCAACGTCCGATCATGGTAGGACGGAATGACGACGACGACGATTTCTTCTGAGGACAACAAAGTTTCCCCAACAAGGAATAAAGTGTGGTCCTTTCCCAACGCTAAATTTGGTGAGCTCATGCGCTTACTGTACAGCCTACTGGAACCGAAGCACACATTATGCGAGCTACGGGTATTTTCGACTCTGGAGAAGCTCATGTTCGTACTCCACGTGACACCCCGCTCCCTGGTTTGTACATTATCCTTTCATGCACGGACTCCGCACTTTGGTACAGCTCTAGCTGCAGCCGTTCTGACGTGGCAATCGTGATAAAGCCGGAGATGGCCTTCGGCGAGGACGACACATCTCCTCTCAGCACATGTACTAATATTCAACTCATTCAAAACCCCCTCAGACGACTAGGTGACACCGCCGTCTTCCACAACGTTTGCAATGACGGGCAAAACAGATGTCCCAGGAGTCGCGCTCATCACTGGCTCAGGCTCGGGCATTGGGCGAGCAACAGCTCTATCATTTGCGCAATCCGGTTGCACTCAAATCGCACTGCTCGATCTGAACGAAGACGGTCTCTCGGCTACGAAGAAACTCATCGAGGAGGCAGCCGGGGACAACAACTCTCTCAAAATCCATATTTACAAATGTGACGTTTCCAACCCGGACAGTGTCACGCGAGTCTACGCCGACGTCAAAGAAACATTCGGCCGTCTCGACTATGCCGTACATTGCGCAGGGATCATCGTCTTCGGGCGATCAACCGAGTTCTCCCTCGAGGATTTCGACAGGCAGAACAGCGTGAACTACCGTGGTTTGTGGTTGTGCTCTCGCGAAGCCCTTCGGATTATGCGTACTCAATCACTGGATTGCGAGGCGTATCCCGAAGCTCAGATCCCGCCGACTCGTGCCCAGCGTGGAAGCATCGTCAACATCTCCTCGGGCCTCGCATTAGTGTCGCAGTCCAACTGTCCGGCATACAGTGGTGCCAAAGCCGGCGCATTGGCAGTCTCCCGCTCCGACGGAATCGACTATGCGTCTGAACGTATCCGGGTCAACGCTGTCTTGCCGGGGATCGTGGATTCTCCAATGACAAACCCGGACCCCGAGACCCGGAAGTGGCTCGAAACGAACCCGGTCCAGAGCACGCCAATGAGGAGATTCGGACTGCCAGAGGAAATCGCAGACGTTTGTGTCTTTTTGTCTGGTAACAAGGCGAGCTTCGTCACCGGGGCAGGTTGGTGTGTCGACGGCGGTTTCATTGCTGGCATGGCATATTGATATTTGAGAAAGGGGTAATCTACCGGAAGAGACTTGCTTTTCTTCTTCTTCTTCATCGACCTGGTATGGATATGAGGTGAAGAGGGCACGTGTTCCTCTAGACAGGAA